TGGTTTTGTCAAAATATGTACCTTACATATTGATAATTTCTAGAAACCTATAAAGCCGTATGCATTTCTTTTGTGTCCCAGGTACTTTTCATACGTCTTCGGATGAATTAACAAATCAAAACTCTAATTCGAGATTTTTTCCAGATGAGTAGTATAAACTCAGTGGAATCATGTCTATTTGAATCTTATCAGAGTGATACATCATCAAACGATATTGATATTGTCAAAGCAGAATTTGAGTCGTGACAGTACAATTAGAAGAGAACTTCAGCAGATGAAACACCATCAAATGTCATTGTCACTATAAATGCTCTTCTTCCTATTAAATCATTTTATCCTAATTTACATTGTTTATACCATCGGTGACTGTTATCACAGCAGCAAGATCATTCTCAATAATGCAAAGAATAAAAATCACACTTCGAAACAATATTGGTGGTAAATGTCTAAGTGATCTTACTTTGATTCATATCCATCGTGATATTGCAACCAGCTCGAATGTGGAACATATGATCAACGCTATTTGCAAAGACAAGCGGAGAATCAAATTTTTCTAGTTCATGAACAAAACTTCCTTTTTAGTGGGCATTCTCGATAAATAATTATTCGTTTTTTGTATCTTTTTGATGAGTAAAGAGATCAATAAATGACTCAAAAACAAACATAACGATAAAAGATTCATCATCTTCGTTGTTTTTTATGCCATTTGTTCTTCAATAATAAAAAAAATTTCCTCTTATTAATTAATATTACATTTTTTTATTCTATTAATTCATATTAGTTTTCGATAGTATTTCTATTAAGTATTCTAATTTTTTTTCTATTGAGCAGTTGTAAAAATAAATTTGACAAGATATTCTCTTTAAAAAGTGTTTTTTTTGTTGTATTATTTATTAACTTAGCATCTTCATTCTCGTTCAAAGGATATTCCTCTCCACTAAGCTGCATTATTTCCACCTCCCATAAGATTTCCCCTGCATCTGATATTTATTAACTATTACAAAGAAATGACCTTTGTTTTTCTTGTTTTTTTTTACGTATCTTCTATGACTAATTAGACGTCGATATTCGCTTGACGAAAGACAAAATTTGAAAGGCCACGCATTACTCATAATTACTTATCTATCTAATTTTTTTCTCATTGTGTTCTCTCTTCTTTTTTCTTCATTTATTATCGTTCTTTTCTGAAGCAAAAAAAAAATAACAAATAGAACTATATTACTATTTATGTAAATTACCTTTACTTTATCCTTTCTTATATAAGAAAACAAAACAAAAACGAAAAAATATCATACATATATATATACTGATATAATTATTTCGAACTTAGAATTTCGTATTGACTTGTTCATTTTTAAGAATTGAAATAAGGTCCAAAGGAGTTCCTTCTTCCCATTTTTCCTTGAGACGAAATATAGAATTCTTTACATATTTCTACTATTATATATGGGTTTTAAAAGGACTGAATAATTTCGTATAAGACAGCCATCAGCAGCTAATATTTTAAATCTAGTAGTTTAACGATGATGGTGACAATTTGCTCCGAATACAGCAGTGTTCAGACTTCCGAAAAAGGAAATTTCGGAAGTTTTGGAAATTTCAAGCACTTGTGTTCTGAATTGTTTGGTACTTTCCAAAATAATATAATTTCCGAAATTACAGAAAATTCCAAAATTTCTAAAATATTTTCATTTGCTTTGCTATGTAGTTATCGAGTTGATGGAAGCTTCGGAAATTTCTGTAATTTCCTTTTTCGGAAATCTGAACATACCTCTCCGAATATGGTTAGGTTATGAACTGGCAATATAAAGAAAATAAATTGGGATACCATATTGACTGGCCACATCCATATATCGACCTGAGGATTTATTTTATTGGATAAGTGAAATCATCGATACGATCACTGACTATTACAATGATTTATGATTTTTATTATGTGCAATTTTCGCTTCACTGACATTAAATATCGTTTGTGCTATTGTTTACGTTGTTAATTTAATCGCTGTAATTTATCAAAACAAACGTCTACTGTAATTTTTTTCTCTTACATTTTTTCGCTTTGTGAAACATATATTTATAGCCAAGTGAAAAACAAAAGAGAAGGCAAATAATAAATATCCCATCTATTTCTCCTAATCAAACACAACATAAAAGCAATACAGAAATGCATCGAGTGACTTTCATGCTCTTCTGCCTGTTGGCAACAGCTACAGTAGATGGTTCGAGAATAGTCAATCCACCTTATCCCTGGCTGACGCTGCCACCGACGCCTAAACTTCCTCAACCTCGAACTGGTCAATATGCAAACATCAATAATGCCAAGATATGGTTTAACATTTATGGGCCACGACATGGAACGCCTATTCTCTTTCTTCACGGTGGCTTCGGCAATAGTGATTATTGGGAAGTCCAAATTCGAGAACTGAAATCCTCTTACAAATGTATTGTAATGGATTCTCGATTACAAGGACGAAGTACATCATCATCAACCAGTTTAACTTATGATCTGATGACGAATGATGTCATTGGTCTATTGGACCATATTAAGATCAGTAAAGTTCACGTAGTTGGTTGGAGTGACGGTGCAATTATTGGTCTCAATTTGGCAATGAACCATCCTAATAGATTGATTTCATTATTTGCATTTGCAGCAAATTATAATACGTCGGGTGTGAAAGACATTTCTTCATCGACTGTTTTCAATGCTTATCTGGCACGTAGTCGAATAGAATATGAACGGCTGAATCCTGTGAAAAATTACCAGAATTTGTATAATAGTTTAATAACAATGTGAACTACTCTTCCGAATTGGAGTCAAACTGATTTTAAAAAAATTCCATCGAATTTATTCGTATGGATCGTAGATGCTGATCATGAAGAAGCTATCTATAGAGATCAACCTGACACGATGACTCATTGGATACCTCAAGCAGGAGAACTTATCCTACCAAGAACGAGTCACTTTGCTCTCCTGCAGGATCCTGGAACTTTTACACTGACTTTGGTACGATTCATGACTCAGTGCACATAGTCGATGACAAATCAAGCTGGTTAGAAAAGCAATATTAGCACATCTTCGATGAAAATAACTTTCAAAAATCTATCGATTCAATCCTTTTTTTTTACTCACATTATATTACGACTTAACTCTAAAAGGACGATCCAATAACTAATCAATTCTGTTTTAATCTAGCTAATAAACATCAAAAAGTTTATTTTTATTAGTGTTAGTAACTAATATAGAACTGAAATGTTAACGCTTTCCTAGTTTAGGGTGTAGATGTGCGGCACATAGGTCAACGCCATCTGTCAGACTGATTCCGAAAATACTATCTGTTTTGATTGAAAAGATGGTTATGACGAGCAAAATCATTGACACTGGTCAAAAAATGTTCGTTTTTGCCTATTCAAACAAGATATTGTTCTAATATGTTTTAAAAGAAACTGTATTTTGAATATTTTTTCACTAGCAGAAATATGTTTTACCACTTTTCTTTAATTCATGAGTGTTAAAAAGACAGAGATATGAGAAAGAACAATAAGTAGACGGAAGATGCAATTTTTTCTTCAGTTAAAAGAAGGACTTTTAAATAGAAAAAAAATGAAAAATTTCTCAAAGCTATGGCAATGCACATGTTCTGCAACCCCTTGCTCCATTGCCACATTGTTGAATGGAACAGACAGTCACTATAAAGCAGCATCCAGAGTATACTTAAATGTAACACCATAGTAGTTTCACTGCTAGCTGTGATACAGGCTCAAGTCTCAAAAATCGATTTTGTCACGTTGCTGTCCACTATGTGAAATAGCATCGTATTACTGCTAAAAGATAAACATATAGTTGTTTCTAATTGAATATTTCTTGTATTCCTGGGCTAAGAAATACACAACAAAGTGCTGCAATAAATATATCAATCGACATACTTAATATGTCGATATAATAAATTATTCGTATTAATCAAATACTAGTCATTCAAATAAATAAAAATAAAAATTGTAAAAAAAAACCAACAACAGTTATAACAAGAAAACAAATAAATCTTTTTCAATAGTTGGGTGTGAATTTGAGCTTGAGTCTTCGCTTGATCCACACACACACAGCAGTTAAGCAAAAAGACCATCCAGTACTTCATGAAAATCTGACAAGATGATATTTACTCGAGATTCGCGACTAGCCTCTCTTGTTTCACCTTATCTTTCCTACAATATAAGTTTTTAACTAGTTTGAATCTCGATCAAAAAGTTGCTATCAAACATAAACGAAAGTTTCGCCGAAATATTTTAGTCTAGCAAAAAAACACATGATGCTGGTTTTGAAACTTTTCATTATTGATAAGTTGAAATCACATAGAATAAATTGTTGTTCTTGTCTGAATTATTTGAATATTGAGATTTCATGAATGGATCTTTACCAGACAATTTCTTAGATACCTGATTTATAATAACGATAATTAAGGCAAGATACTGACAAACTCACACAACTTTAAAAATTCGATCTTATCTGGAAAAAACGCAATATTTTTCAACATTTTTTTGAAGAATATTGATTCTGTCAGCACAAGTGAAATATATTTTAGGTACAAATACGATCTAATGTAAAGAGCATGATGATATCCGGAAACACTGTTTGAATGTCTGTTCATTGTTGGATAGCTAAAAGAAAAACATTCAAAGACAAGTGAATAAGAGCAAAAAAGAGTATAACAACATAATTCTTATGCTTTCTATGGTAATTTGAAATTATTATCGTAATAGAAAACTCAATAGAAAAATGCATATTAGATTTGTATATTTAATAAATGAGACTAACAATGCAATTGTTATAAAGGATTCATCTCAGAAATATCAGTGAACTACAACATAGAGCATAGAATAATCTCATTTTATACCATCGTCCTATTTGAGAAGCACTTTTTAAGCAAACATCATGCGATGAAAACTTTATCTTATCATTTTCTTAATCTGTTACAGAAGGCTTATTTCATGTGAAATTTTGAGTACTACATTGCATTTCTTGAAAGAGAAACAAAACATACTTTTTCATTATTCATCCATAAATGAATTTTATTGTTAATAAGCTTGTATGTGAAATTATTATTAGTTTTCAAACGTCGAGAATTTTTCATGAGCCAATCACGTGTCACTGACAACGATCGAAATGAACGTTGATCAATAGATGATGAATGATACAATCCAAATTTTGCAATTGATAGATATCTTAATTGATCTATCAATAAAAGTAAATCTTGACGAGAAGTTAATTCTAAACTCAAACGTTCAAGTAGAGGAAAGATATTGCATAATTGATTTATATCCAATCGTAGTGGAATGTTTGCTCTTGTATTGATATCTCGTACGTATAAATTACGTATCTGTTTAAATACAATATCATTTGGCATATATTTCAATACTGACAAATCTCGAAATGAAATTGAATTCAAGAAAGGTATGTGTTTAACAAGATTGAGAAATGCAACTAATCTACTATTAATGATAGTTTCTTCTATACCGAATATGAGTGATGTTATATTTGTGAAACGATGAGGAATTGAATTAAGCGATGATAAATGAAGACAAGTGATGTACTGATCAAAATCGAAATTCGATGATGTACATGATGGTGGCCAATCAATATATGGATGCATGACAATGTTCGATGCAAAACGGGGTACTGTGAAGATATGTTGCATATGTGAACTATTATAAGCAACAAACCAATGTTTGTATTCAAGCCAAAATAATGAACGGAATGATTCAAGAATATTTTCTTCGGAAATATTTAATGATAGACAGAGAAGATAAATTCGAAAATCGAATACAATAAGATGTGAAACAAGTAACTCCCATTGTTGACCATCAATAAGATCCATATAACCTTGAGTATCAAGTTCGAAATGTCTTAGATTAGGCATTTTAGATAGAAGTTGTTTTATTTGTATCATCGTCAATTTTTCACCTTAACACAGAACAAAGAATATATAATATGTTCAAGTTCATATGCTTACCATAACTGTTGAGTACGAATTTTCTTAGATGAGTTAATAGTGGTATATTATTCGACCAATCTGTATTAAAACCAAGTGAAAGTACAATATCCAATGAATGAAGATTAGGAATTAGATTGAATAAAGTCGACAATTGATAACAGTTACAATGTTTGAGAGTCAAATGACGTAGATGAGGTAGTGCATTATCAAGAAGATAATAAGTATTGTACACCATCAGTCGATTCAATTGAGGAAGTAACTTCCGAATAGCAAAGTCAAAATTTAAGCAATACGGTTGAAAAAGGTGTGGTAACTCCAGTGATGATAAACATCTGAGTTTATACAAATGAGATAGTTTCGTACATGTATCGTTGTTAATCGAGCTCATATCGAATGAACAAAGATGAATGAATTGTTCGATATTGAAAAGAGAAAAGAAAAGTTCCGATTGATTGGGTGTTTCATCATCATCCGATAATGTTAGAGAGACTACTTGATGTGGTTGTATACGACGACAGGTAACATCAAAATGAGATTTAAGAATAGAACGAAAGTTGAGTATGTATCGATCATAACTTACTAATATGGCATCAATATAATCAGTTAGATTAGAGAATGCATTAAAAATTTCGTGTGTTGAGAGATAGTTAAAAATGTGATGGAATAATTCAACAGGTAGTAGATCTATTCGACTCAAGGACATAGTACAATGGTGATTTCTTATCTAAAACAATGATTTATTCTCTGAAAAGAAATCAGAAATACATTACAAATAAAAACGAAATTTGTTAGCTGACTGAATCATCATTCTTATTTGGTAATTAAAAAAATGTGCATTTGTTCTTTTTTCTCTTGTGTCCTTTTTTTTTGTTGATGTTATATGAAAACAGAATCAAAATATTTGACATCATATACATTACTCCTTCAACATGAATCATTGCAAACATGTATCTAGTTTTTATTATGAGGTAAGTGGTTAAATATATGCATTTAGTTTTTTAATGTTGAAAAAAGAGTATGATTACAAAGAAAAGAAATCCGATGAGAGCAGAAAACTGCCAATAAATAAGTTGTTTTTGACTAACACAATTCAACATGCTAAGCAGATGCAAGTAACTTCAAATGATAGAAAGTCTTGAAGAGAGTGCTGTTATTATGTTTTTGTTTCTTCTAATAATTTCAGAAGAGTGTATGATTTAGTCTATCCTACACTTTAAAAAGAAAGCGTAGGATAACTAATAAACCCTTAAGCAGTATATGAAAGTAAAACTTATAGTAAATCTTTTGTTTTTGAGCATATGAAAGAACTCAGGTAATGCTTTACGAAGAAACTTCTGTGATTCATATATTGTGACTGTAAGACTCATGATGTTGGGAATCTATTGAAATCTTCAGCTTTCGAAAATTATGTAGACTAAATGAGAAAAAACCTCAGGATTGTCATCTGTCTGGGTATAAGAACGCTCACATAAAATAATGATTATGATGATTCTCCAAGATGGTCAAAATTAAAAACAACAACAGAAAGTGACACAACAACAGAGAATATTACAGCGAATGAGAGAAAACAATAATAAACACTGTAGAAAGTCTTCGTCATAGAGTGACATCTGTTCACGCCAACATTGGCTATGAGAGTAGATTTACCGGAAATCTACTGAGCAATAAAATGATCTTTTAATCTTCGTTGTCTAACATAAAGGGTTGATGTGTGTATTTTATTAGGCTCGGTTGTATATTGAACGGAACAGATGAAACCGATGAAGCAAATTGGATGTGAGTCTGGATATGGATATGAATGTGGATGTGACTCTTTCCTCAACTTCTTACTCACACTCACACTCCATATCTTACATATTCATATTTGTGAATTCAAACAGATACGAACCACTAGGACATGATATGTCTTTTCTGATGATTTGTGAAAACTTGAGTGGAAAAAAGGAAAATGAATGTTTTTGACACCGTTCCTATTAATAATCATCAACAAATCGATCAATTTTTGCTGGTTTCCGCTGGCCTTAAAGATTTTTTGAATCGACGGATCACTGGCTGGACGGATCGGTCTAAAATCTCGAACTGTCACAATCCTAGGGGGGCCTCTATTTTTGTTATCGGAAGCCTTATAAGCGAATTGGGAAGATGGCTCATTGCAATGTAAATATTGCAGAAAAGACAAGCACAATAATCAAGGGAGATAAAGTTGAAATCAGATTTTTTGAATAATCCGATTCCAATCAAGAAAATCAAAATCATCAATTTTTGTAATTGTTATGATAGACTTCATTCTCTAAATGCGCGAAACGTCTTCTTTTAATAATCAAATTTTATCCACAGACTCAAATTATGAAAAGATACTTCAAATCAAACCACAAAACGTTAAAAATTAAAGTTGTTTAACTAAGTGATTTTTTGATTAAATAGATTCGAAATATCCTGAGATAAAATCAAAAATTTTTTCTCGAGAAATACTACAGAAATATCTGTTCTATCCATTGATAACTAGCCTATCATTTTATTAGAATGGATATTCAATTCATGACAATTTGACAAATGTAAACATACTAAGAAATATACATTGTTTAAAGAGATAACATTCATTATAGATAATTCATCATTGTATTAAACTTTCATCAGTAAAAACAAATATGTTTAACAACAACCTGCACACAGTTGAACTTGAAGATTGACTTTATTTTCTCAACAAAGATTTCACCACCTATTTATTCATGTTAAATGACCGACTTAGTATTTTATTGTAAAATAACATTTTTATAAGGATACAATGAGACAACTATACAAATTTTAATAATAAAGCATAAAATTATTAAATACGGAGAGCGTTAGTGCGAATGTTTATGTGGAGTGTATGTCGGAGAAGAGAAAGCTCACACCTAATCTCTGTTGCATCATTTTTCAAGAAACAAAGTTAGTACGGCATACAATATCAAGATGAGTTTTTTAATAAATGTAAACCTCTTTACATGCACTCAAATAGAGAAAAGAATGAAAAGAATCATGTTACAATCTTATAAACGTGACGTTGATGGCCAAGAAATTGAATAGAATTGTTCAAGGATCTAATTGTCAACGAGTTGTTCGTCTACTAAGAGAATGAACTATTTGTTCATGTGGAGTATGTGTATGTTTTGGTAGAATACGGTTGCGTTTTTTCCAACATATAGCTGTTAGTACATTTTGTCTGTATGCACGAGATACAATTACATAAACATAGAACGTTCCTGTATGCATTGTAAAATTAATAACGGCACCTACAGTTGACCAAAGATTTTCTTGTGCAAGTCTTAAGTCAGATTTTCTGACTGATTGTGTGACTTGTTGATATATATTGAATACGAAAGTAGGAGTTGCAGTTACGAGTACCAAAATAAATTCAGCAACCATCATTTGATTGACTTGTTCTTGAAAACGACTACGTTTGACAAATCTCGAAAGTCGAAGATTATTCCATGTGAGTATACTGAACAAAGCCAAAACAAATAATGAGAGAGCATTCGTAATAGACAAATTAAAATAGGTAATAAACTGTGCATACATAAAACGAGCATTCGCCGATGCTGTACATCCAGGTACCTTATAATAGATGGCGTCTGGCATACAGATAATTAAATATATTATACTGAATATAATCACAATAAAACAAGCTCGTTGTACAGTCAAAAAATGACGATAGTGTACATTACGTGAAGTAATAAGAAAGCAAGCGATACTTGACAAACATACACATGTCACTGGCATGTTCAAACCCCAACGTCCAAGTAACCATCGAATTTTACAATAGATTGGTGAATTAACTAATAGATCAATATCCGTAATAGCTAGTATAGATCGAGGAAAACGTGTTGCCCATAATAGAACTAGACTACCGATGGATGTGCTGATCAAAAATACAGAATTTGGCATTCGACGAAGTTCTTTTAGATAGATAAAGACATATATATTCAGCAAATTACCTACAGTACCAAAAATGATGAGAACAAGCATTACATAACCATTCAAAATATTTGTGATTGATTGAAGACGAAGGATTTCATCGTTGAGTGTAGTAGTTGACATTGTCAAAGTTTATTTCTAAAATTGAAAAGTCGTCATCACTACGTTCTTGAAAATTTTTACGATGCTAAATAATAAATGCATCGTCTTTTGTATATTTAATACGATAGAGATAAATGAGAGTGTAAACAATATATAATGTTAATGATATTTTAATATTAATGAAAATCTGTAGTTGTTTCTTGTTCTAATTTTAGAATATAATTATTTAGCTCGAAGGAAAAAAAAAGTCGAACGATGACGGATGCATTCTGAACAAAACTAAATCAGAAGGTGATGAGAAAATGAAGCACTAGCATATCTGAGATGAAACCTTTTTTAAAAGAAAATATCATCAAATTTCGAATAAAGAAATCTAGAAAAAATTTCAAAGCATATAAATAGTTTTACTCTAGAAAGAGACATACAGCAATGAAAGACTCTCGGTGTACTTCGCACAATCGATGTTAAGTTGATTCTATCTTACTCACATCAATGGATTTTTCGAGATTTTGCGACAATACCTTTCAAAATGCTTTAAAAAATATTGCTTATATTTTGTCGTAACAACAGAATTAGAAAGACAAATATGATAGTTCAAAAAGCCATATTTATAATTCGAATGTGGGTCATCCAACAGCAAAAATAGTACCCAACTTGTTCTTATATGTTGCTAAGAATGACTTCTTTCCTCTTCTCTCGCATAGAAGCTGCTCATCATTAACGAGACACATCGTTTCGTTCTTTTGATCTTCTGCTTTCTTTGATATTCTCTTCACACTTTTCTTCACCGTAAGTAATCAATTCTATTGCGGAAAAGATAAACTTACAGGTGTTCTATATCTCAACAAGATAGAAAATAAGTAAAATATGATATATATTTACAGTAAAATAATCTCCCAGGTAATATAATAGATTCGTCACATGTGACAACTTCTACTTTACTATGCACAAAAATGGAACAATCGATGTTAACGAATGTGTACCATTTATCATAAATTGCGGCTCCCATGAATCAATTCCTAAATCATATTCGCATTTGTGCATAATCAAAGAATTAAGACAACTCCTCATGTAGGCAAAAA